TCTCTAGATCTCTTTGAATGGCAGTCCTGCACTCAAGCACATCAACTTATTTTGATAGCATCCACAAGCCTAACCCAGAAACTTTCAGTATCTTCCTCCAGGTCACTGATTAAGATACTGAGCAGGACATGTCCCAGGGTAAGTTTCCTGAGGAACTCTGCCTGTAACCAGTGTCTAGGTAGAGTACAAACCATTAACCAATACCCTTTAAGCCTGATGATCCATCCAGTTTTTCCACCCATCCAGTTGTCCTCCTGTCTAAACTGTAACATCTCAATTTGGATACAAGGATGCTGTGGGAAGTGTTGTCAAGAGCCTTGCTAAAGTCCAAGTAAATGACAACCACTATTCTTCCCTCCTCCACAAATCAAGTCATTTCCTCACAGAACTCAATCAGGTTGGCCAGGCGTGATTTATCCTTGCTGAATCCATCCTGGCTTTTCCCAGTCACCACCTTCTTCTTCTTGTGCCTAGAAATGGCTTCCAAGGTTATTTGCTTTCTGATTTTTCCCAGGGAAAAAGTGAGACTGACCAGTATGTGGTTCCCTAGGTCATCCTTGCCTTTTTTGAAGATAGGTGCAGTATTTGCCTTTATTCGGTTGTTGGAGACTTTCTGTGATCTCCACAACTTTTTAAATGTGAGAGAATAGCCTTGCAGTGTAATCAGTCAGGCTCCCAGCATCTTCCTACAGATCACATCTGCCCCCCTCCAGGACTTCTGTAAGCTGAGATTTCTTAAAAGATCTGTGGCTTAATCCTCTTCCAGTACTGGTGGTTTCTTTCCTCTTTGAACTCTGTAGGTACCAAGGACCGCAAAACCTTACTGGTGAAGTCCAGACCCTTTTCTGCATCTACTGTCAGTAAATCACCTGACTTATTCAGCGGCTGGCACATATTTTCATTGTATATTATTTTATTGCTCATGTGATGGTAGAAGCTCTTCTTGTTGCCCATAACATCCCTTGCCACTTTCAAAACCAGATGGGCCTGTGCTTTCCTAACACCATCCCTGCATGTCCAGGCAGTTAGTCCTTAGTCACTTGTCCCTGCTTCCATGTACTTCATACTCTTTTTCTGCACTGTAGTTCAATCATCACTTCCCTGCTTAGCTAGGGGCCATCTTCTGGTACTTTCCTGAGTTTTGTCCTTGGAGAAGGTTGTCCTGGAAGACCTTCTAGCTTTCCTGAGCTCAATTTCCCTTCAAAGCTGCCTCAGAGGGGATCCCACCAAACAGTTCTCCAAACAAGCTGCAGCCTGATCTCCATCTCTGTACTCTGCTGCTCTTTCCTCACTGCCCTCAGGATCCTGAACTGAGTTATTTCATAGTTACTACAGTGAAGGCTGCCATTGATTATCACATCTCCAGTCACTTCTTCCTTGGTTGTGAGTAGCACATTCAGAAGAGCATCACCCTTCACTGATCTCATAGGGCTGTCAAAGCCTGGGGCCCCATCTCCTTCACTTTACCCCCAGAGCTCTGTAGTCCTGATCTGCACAAGGCAATGTCTTTGGAGTCCATGTGGATGTGCAACAGTGAGTTGTGGTCCAAGGAAATGTAAATCAAAATCCTTGGCAGTTTCTTTGTAATGTAATGGACTGGGTCACCTAAAAAAAAAAAAGAAACCTGTTGTAACAGCACAATGATTTAGCACTTGTGTGCCTTCATCCTTCACAGGAGGGAGTCTCCAACCATGGTCACCCACCACTTCCTCTTGCTTTCTGCTAATGATCTGTTCAAGCTCAGTTGGTTTCAAATCCTTCCTTAATGGAGCATGTTCTCCCTCATTGGTTATTAGGACACTTTATCAATTCTGAGTCTCTGTCAACTTCTTGCTCAAGCACAGCCTCTGACTGTGCCTCCTGCCTTGCATCATGAGGCTCAGGGTCTTGCCTCTGTGAGGTCTCTGTGAAGACCCACTTATTTCCTCATCGTCCTCCCTGATTTTTTTGCAGTCTGCTTGCCTGGGATGGTTTGTCCACCTAGCATTGCTAAGTAATGCACAAACTAAAAAACCTCGTAGAAATAAAATTTTGGAACAGTTCATCTCCTCATTCCTTAGCCCTAACAGAGGCTGGCTGCATGCACCTATGTTTAAAGTTGTCTGTACCCTCTAGTATAATCAAAATTGATGCAGGAGGTTGAAGGGTGATGAAGTTCAGAAAGAAGAATGAGTTTCCTGAATTTTTTCCCTCTAAGAAAAACATCTATATATTGTTCCAGTGTTGATTATGGCTATAAGTTGCTCACGAGCCTTGTGTCCTTTTGTATAGCTGCATCTGTTCATTCACTCCGATGCTCAGACCCTTTATTTTTACTTTCTGGCCAGCTGCACTATGTTGAGTGCTGCGTGAGCTAAAAATGCTGCCCTTCCGTCTGAGGCATGCAATATAAAATAATCAGGAGGAAATCAAGACAGAAAATGGAAGTGTGAATACAGTTGCTGCAGCTGGAATCATATGGAGATAAATCTGAAAATGAGATGCAAAATAGAAAATGAATATAAATACTTTTCATGCCAATAATGGCATAGCAGGGTGAACTTAAACCCAAAGTATTTGTTAATTCAGGAGATCTCTAGGCTTACCTGTGCACATGAAGGCTTTGGTGGACTATAGAAGAGAACAGAGGGTGGAACTGTGTCTTCTAGAGCAATATCATCTTTGCTTTTGCTTTTCTTGTTTTTGCATGAGCCTGGAAATGTTACAGGATAAACAGATAGACGATGGTGGAGATGAGTGACTCTTCCAGTATAAAGGAAGTTTAGACTGTAGATGCATTTTAAGGATGGATTTAGCTGTGAAAGAAAAAGCTTGGGAAGGCCCTACAGTGCTGTAACCCCATTAGTCACAGTGGAAGAGGTAAAAGGGCTTGTTAAAAAAATAAAGGCACATGGAAAAGGAATGACAGAAGGGTGAAAGCAGCAGCTGCACCCTGGAGGGAATGGGGAAGCTGGAGAAATAGGTTGCAAAAGGGAGAAGACAATTTTTGTTGTGCCTGCCCACTGTCTGAATTCCTCCTCTTCTCATCGGTATTAGCTCAATGTCACACTGACCCTCCCTCTAGCAAGCAGAGTGAGGGGAGGCGGCTTCCACACTTGTCAGCATTGGTTCCTCAGTCAGATGAGGAGGATGCACTGATATGACACTGCTTGTTGTACTACTGCGCGGGTCAAAATAAAATCTGGCAGCAAAGCTTTGCAGAGCCTGGGTGAGTCCTCCCCTCTTCTGTGATCTTATTGGACAGGGTCTGGGAGGATCCTACTGTGGTTTGTTTTCCTTACACCACTACATGGTGCACTGCAGGAAATAAAAACTATTTTAGTTCTGGTGGAAACGAAAACTTCACCTCCTCACTCCTTAGTGAAGGCTCATTGCATGCACCAGAGTTTTGTTACTCTCTGATCTAATAAAAAAGTGAGTTAACTTTTTCCACCTTAAAATGCTTGCAATCATCTCTTCCCCCTCCAATACCTAAACCAGATGTCCCTGGGACCGGAGTCTCATGCCTAAGTGGGTTTTGCTGAAGTTCTGTGCCAGTGCATGGCAGTTTCTGGGTCTTCTTTCTGCTGCAAGAAAAAAAAAATAGTATCTTTAAATATGAAAGTTAATCAAGTCTTCTTTTTCTCCAAGTGGCTGTTTTTGCAAGCTGATTAAAATAATTCAGATGACTGAAAAAGATTTTAATTGACTTGGGACTGCAGTTCAGGAAAAAATTATTTCTATCTGGAAAGACTTTTTGGGGTTAAGCCAGCATCCTACCATGCAAGAGAGTTGAATTCAGCTGTTACTGCATTATAGTTTCACTCCATAACTTTGAGAAATGCCTTCACCTTTCTGCAAAATGTCAGTTTTAATGGTCCAGTCTCACATTTTTAAAGTGAAATAGGTTCTTGCCCTCAGAGGGTTCCAGTAGCTTTAGGAATCCATCCTCAAGGCTGAGATCCTGGGATTTGTAAGCTGTCCTACGGGGCTTGTTCCCAAGGACCTGGTCCTACCCGAGCTTTTCCTCCTGCCTCTGCATGCCTGCTGCTCCTTGGTGCCAGCACTGGTGTCCTTGCAGCCACGCCTTCATGACTTCAATGAAAATTTAGGAAGTTGGGTAGGTAGATAGATTCACAGAACATTGTCTAGGTACATCATGTCCTTAACTAAAAGAACGATCTCTCACTGTATTCTCACACATCAGGGCTTCCTTTCAGCACCGCATCATCTACAATTTGGGTTATTTGGTTTGGGTTTTCCTTGTGCAAGATAGATTTCCTGCATGATGTTTTCTTTCATAAGCTGCTTGCATGTGTCACTTAACTTCCTCCAGATTGGATAGAGAATTGTAGGTAACGTGTTGATTTTAATGTTCACACATTTTTGTTCTCCCCGTCATGAACTTTATACTGCTTTATCTTATCTTTATATTTGTGTAATGCGCAAGTACCAACTTCCTTTAGTGTAAAGCAGGAAACCAGAAAGGGGAGGATGAAGCTCTGCGTTTTTTGACACACGCACACACACACGCACACGGAGAGAAAAAACATCTGTGTGTTTGAAGTGCCTCCTTTCTCCAGGATATTTGCATGCCTTTAAAAGTGGCTGCTGAGTGTATCTGTAGCTTTCATGGTAGGTGCAGTCAGGTGATGGCAAAGCATGGCTTCATTGAGAAACCCATGGCATTATGGCCCCAAAAAAAGAAAGAAATTCTGTTGCAGAGTAACTTGCTGCTGTTCAGCCAAGTCTGTGTCCCACTGAGGGCAGTGATTTAGCTGCACTAGCTGTAGTCTTTATCACACACTAGTTGCCATGTATAAAAAAGAAGTAATTTCATGTTTCGTGTGCCATTGCCAATGATATGTGGCTCTGAAATTGTGTCAGAGTTAAAATGTTACCCAAATTATTGTCTAAAATTGAGTTCTCTGAGAATCTTCCCAGGGGTTCATCTTTCTCTTAATGTTTTTCGGATTAGGTGAAGGATTTTGTAATAGCTTTCTCTCATATCTGATTTTCAGGAGGAACGATCGATCAAGAAATTACCCACCTTGGTTCACTCGGGATTGGTGGCTGTTTATGGCACAGTTGTTTTGAATCAGATAGTTCTCTTTTTGGGAACCGACGATGGACAGCTGCTGAAGGTGAGCTGGCTGTGGCGGTTCTTCCCTTCTCCATCAGCTGTGGCTGTGCTCAAGGGGGTAAATGCTTCCTGGTTTAGGCACCGTGTTATAAACAGATATAAACCCCCAAATCTCTATTTCTTTTTTGTTTGTTTGGGAAGTAACTGCTGCATTGTTACTTGGCAAACAAGACAACCTTCAAAAGCAATTATGTACCCTGCTTAAAATTCATGGAGACATTTCATTAAACAGCTAATGCCCACAGTATCAATTTATGGACTGTGGAGTTCTCAGTTACTCTGTCTTTTGTTTCCTTCCTTGCTTTGATTTTCCAGTAGAAATATGAAATATTGTTAGATTTTGGAAGCATATTTGTTTGTTTGTTAGCCTGTCTGTGTGATGTGAGTAGCTGTCCGATAAAGAGAAAAGTCAAGATTCATTTTGTCTTAGCTTCTGAATAGTTGACCTAGCCTAGCTTAAATCAGTCACCTGGAAGTGAAAGTCATCTTATCTTATTATTGAACTTTTCAGCCATCCAGTCAAATGTCTTTTATGCTTTAATTTTTTTCTGGGTTTTGCAAGAATGTGCATTTCTTCTCTACATGGCAAAGGATGGCTCTCATTTTTTGTTTATTAGGCAAGCAGGTGGAGGGGAATATCGTTGAGAGCTTGAAAAGCTTTTGCCCATTTGATTTCACAGTGCTTTTGATAATGAAAAATGAAACTGAAGAAGTCTTCTGTGTGGAGACCATGAACATGCCTCCCTTGTTTAGTCATGTTTATGGAAAACCTTATATCAGTGTTGGTGTGCCTATTGATTTGCAAAATGAAGTGTCTGTGGTCTCTTGTTCTCTTGAATTCAGTGCGAAGGGTGGTGGAAAACTGTAGAGGTGGGCCAGGTAAGTAAAAGAAATGCCACCTCAGGTGTGTACTCACAGAAGCCACAAAGAAACTTCTGTCCTGAAGACATTTGTCGGTAACTTGAGTAGATTCCTTCTTATGTTAGGGCTATCTGGATGTTGATTTGTTTTTTGAAGGCTGATAGTTTCTTCTCCGTTCATGGGAGTATTTAAGACACTGTGACTTAGGGATGTAGACGTCTCTTCCACGTTTAGTTTCTGCACCTATCAGGAACATACTTGGTGAGAGGCATGTTTCATACACCAAACCAGTGCCAGATTCAGTGCAAAATGTGTCTGGCATGGATTTTGTTCTTCTGGTGGTCTTTTCCTCCATCTTTCTGCTGTGTGAGAGCCAGTGCAGCAGGGGAATTGAATCAAGGAGCAGTAAATCACCTCAGAAGCTCTGATGTAGCTGAAATTAGGTGTTTGTTTAAAATGCTGACTGATCAATAAAAGGACTTGTGAATAATTTAATTTTATGTGTTTTAGGCTATTCTTAATGAGGATATGGAATCTAATTGCCCAGAGGTTTTATATGAAATTAAGGAAGAAACCTCAATTTTCCCCAAACTTCGCCTTGATCCAATAGATAGTAACTACATCTATCTGTCCTCTGCCAATAAGGTAAGCACAACATTAATTAAAGTAATAAATTCAAGTAAACTACTGCTTTAGGAATTTCTGCCACTTTATAAGTAAAGCATTAGTTTGCACCAGAGTTAGACCTTAAATATTCAAATTGCAACTACCAACTTTACATCTAATATCTGGTTATGTTGTCTAAGTTTGGGCTGCACTTCTGCAGAGCTCAGAAGAGCTTCCACTGTCATGGTGGTGTCCACTGTTGCTATGATTCAGCAACACCCTTATTTTATGTCATTCTGTTGAGAGAGTCTTTGTTTCTGTTTCTGCATCATGCAGAATCAAGCTCAGAGGTAGTAAAAAAACCTTGTAGACTCTTTGGAGATGTAGTTTCTCTGAATTAGCAATCCAATTCGGCATTGGTAGGCCGAGGTTTGCTAGTCAAGTACAGTGTTTCTAATGTGAAGAAATCTCTTAATTTGAGAGATGAGTTTGAGGCCTTAGTTCTGCTGAAATCAGTGATAAAAATTCTTGTCATCTTCAGTTAGGCATAGACTTTAACAGCAAAGCAAACCAAACCAAGAACACAGTCGGAAGTGATGCATGTGTGTGCATAGTGAGGTGATCACTAGGAGCTGCTGAGTGTGAGCAAAGGCGTCAGAGCTGCACATGAAGCAGAGAGTGACTCCCAGGAGCCACATCCTGCAGCAGGGCCACTGAGCGTCAACTCTGCAAGTTCCTTTGTCTCTCTAGCAGCAGGGAAAGTGGCACTGAAAGCACAGGGGCTGGCTGTCCGGCTTAGCTGGGCAGGATTTCACCCAGCACTTGATTACCTTCATTCACTATAAAATCACTTTTCCAGCAGTGAACGTAGCATTTTAGCCTGCTGTCTGAGAGAGTGGGTAAGTTGTTAGGGGAGCTCCTGAGTGATGTAAACCATCTATCACAGG